CGGAGCGCGGCGTCTCGGCCCGAAGAACAGTCCTCGAGCTTGGACGGGGCGGGGGGCCCGCGATCGCGCTTCGGGTCCTCGCATCTGCGCGTGGATCGTTTCCCCGGCAACTTTCCCCCAAACTTTCCCTTAAAAGCGAGCGGGACGTCGGGTGGGACGTCGGGTGGCGCCCCTCCGCGCGGGGAGGGAGGGCCGTGCGGGGCTGCGGGCCCGCGGGTGACGCTCGCTGTGCTGCCGGAATGAGCCGCCTGCTTCAAGTTTGAAAGAAGGAAACGCTCGCCGAGGTGGCTTCGGCCACTGATTTGTCGGCTGCCTGGAGCGTTGAGCACCGCGCTGGGGTTGCGGAGGGTTTTGTGGGAAAGGCTTGAGTTGCGGGTTCTCCTTAAGGGCGCAAGTTAGTGTTTCTCGTTTGTGTGCTGCGTAGAGTCATCGTTGCCTTTCGAAAATCGCTGAGCCTTTTTTTTTTTTTTTTTTTAAATGAGAATACATGCCAGTGAGCTGTGCGAGCCTGCAGAATTTTGGACACTGGCGGAAGCAGCTTCCCTAAGTTGTAGAATCATTGAATACCTTTGTTTAGTGTTGGACGGACCTGGTGATTGAGGGAAGGCATTAATGAGGACGTTTGCCGTATAGCTTTTACCTTTTTTGTGTGGATAATGGCAGAAGATTAATACGCTATGGGATGAAGTTGGCTGAGGGCGGTATAGGGTTATTTTTCAACTTGAAAACTTAAGAGTTCCTACCCAGCATCACATACAGATTCCCAGAAAGCTTAGACTTTGGTAATGTGAAAATGTTCGGATTCTTGAGAAGTAAAACATTGTGTTCTGTCGTGTCTGTGTTATTAGCTACGATCATGCTGGCGGTTAACGTTTTGCTGCAAGGTGTTTTTCGAAGTCACTTTGTGCGTGTCCTGTGGCACTCAGGGTGCTAGGTGTGCTGTTCATGCTCCTCATCCTTTGTGGTGGGTATTATCCCCACTGTATGGTTGAGAGAGCTAAGACTCAGATACTCAATAACCGTGCACAATTACAAAACAAGTAGGGAGCAAGCTGAGTTTGAATTTAGCACTGTTTGATTATAAAAACCCTCGGTCTCATGTGCAAAGCGGGGAAGGCCTTCTTGCCCTTTCTTTATCCAGCAGTCCCCAAAAGGAACAGCTCCATTCTTCTTGGATTAGGGACCTATGTCCTCTAACGTTGGTAAATTGCAAAGTACTGTCCTTCGTATTTTTATGGGGGGTGCTGAACTGCCTAGTTTAAGTAGCTTACTTGCTAGTTAGTGGCAAAGCTGTATTATGTCTTGCCTCCCAACGTGGTAGTTTCGTCTTTGCGTAGATGACATGTGTGCCTAGGTTTTAGAAAATAAACTGACCAAACAGTACAGAAAGATAGACCCCACTCGGCCTGCAGATCCACTTTGCAGAGGTCCTGCAATCGATACCACCACAGTATTTCACACCTGTGATAGTGTTTGGCCCTTCATATTGGTGGATCCTACATAGATGGAGTCAACCAACCATGGATCAGCAAATACAGCCATACATCATTTTAATAAGCTTCGCAGATACTTGGGGGGGTAACCCTTTGATGTTCTGTGACCACCCTGTGATGGGTCTGTAGGGTCGATGATAAATCATAGGCACCATTTTTCCAATCCTCAGATTATCATTAGCAGTTTCTTCGCACTAAAGCCTATTTTAATTAAGGTATGTACATTGTTTTCTTAGACATACGATGTTGCATACATAATAGACTATAATGTTTTGCAAACATGACTTTTAGAAGTACTGGGAAACCAAAAAAATTCATGTGGCTCACTTTATTGTAGTGGTCTGGAACCAAACCTATGGTATCTTTGAGGTGTGCGTGTATTTAAATAATAATAAAAGTCAGGCTCACAGTCGCTTAGTATTCCACAAAGATTGTTTCCAGGATACCCCGCACCCCATCCCCAAGAATAACAAAGTCTGTGGGCACTCAGGTCTTACCAGAAAATGGTATAGTATTTACATGTAACCCCCACATATGTTCCCATATACTTTAACTTCTCTGTATTGCTTGAAATACCTAGTATAGTGTAAATACATTGTAAATGTTGCTATACGGTATCATTTAGGGCATGATGAGGAGAAATGTCTGTCATTGTTCATACTGGCCTGGGTCATGCTTGTTATCCAATATTCTGGGAGCCTGGAGGATCACAAGTTCATGCCCAACTTGGGCAACATAGTAATTTACCAAGAGCGGGTCTCAAAATAAAAAAAAATTTAAATGGACCGAGAGTGTAGTTCATTGCGAAAGTCCTAGATTCGGTTCCCAGTACTGCCCCCCCCTCAAAAAAAAACTTTATATTTCAATTTGCAGTTGGTTGAATCTGAGGATCTGAAACCTGAGCTTACTGAAATGCAGCTGTATATATTTAACGATAGTAAGAGCCCCACACACACATTATTCTAAGCCTACCCTGGAGATTTTTCATATTAATACAGATTTAATATTTAATGTTGCATTCTCTTGTATGGGTGTACTGATTTTCAAGTCACTTATTGATGGTCAGATAGGTTTTTTTAGTGTTGGGGCTGTGTAGTTAGAGGTGTGGATGGACGCTGAAATACCAGTGACCTGTACTTTCTCCTCATCTTTACCCTGTTTTCCGCTGTTGTAAAGTAGGCCGGTATTTACTATACAGGACCGTCACATACATAACACTTAGTGTGCTTAGTAAGTTTTTGGCCATAACACTTAATGTGCTTAGTAAGTTTTTGGCCGGGGTCGGGGGGGCATTGTATGTGTGATTAATGTTATGTGCATACACCTCCAAGAATATTTTTACATTGATTAATGCAAGTGCAGTTTCTGTCCAGAAAGTATGTGAGACTTTGATTAGATCTTGCCAAATTTTTCCTTCGTAGGGGCTGTACTAATTTAGACAGCTGCCATTCTAATAGATGAACGAACTGTGTAGTCCTTGAAGAAACTTGGAGCTTCCCTGTGACCTTGGTTCTTTGGACTACTCAAAGAAATTGCTTTTATTTTAGAGTTTTCCTTTTGGATTACTGAATGTGTCCTAAAATGTTAGTGTCTCACATCACATTTAATTTTTTTAGAATCAACTGAAAGAAAAGTTACTTACTGCTTTATAAAAAAATTGAGTCCAAAATCATGAAATTCCTCCCATCTGCTTTAGGTATCAAACGTAGGTTTTCTCCTAATGTCTTTTGTAAAGGATTACCAGAATCTACAATCTTTTAAATTTACAGAGATTAACCACCTTTTTTTAAAGGTTGGGTAAAATTCAATGTTACCAAGAAAAAGTTCGTTTAAAAGGTCAATAGTGATTGCATTGTCTCTTTATTTAGGTGTAAGCCAGTAATTGATCCACTGCTGCTCCTTTTTGGCTTTCTTTAGTTATCAGGCTGATTTGCTCTTGCTAATTGTTTCCTAGATTAATTTTAGCACAGTTCTGCTTTCCTTACCCTCACTCCCCCCAGTTCTGCCAACAAGACATACGTTTAGGAATCTCTGCTTCTGCATAGCTGGGATATTTTAGGGATAGTACTCTGACCAGCAGCTGAAGTGTTGGCTATAAGCTGCTGACACCTGTTGAAAAGTGCTGGTAATTTTAGTTTTTAAAACCTCTAGAATTTTCTACATATGTCTGTTATGAGATCACTTGGTGTATCCCATTTACCTACTCATTGAGCACATACTTAGTAATTGTCATGCGACATACTTTGGAAGTTTTATATTTATTTGGAAGTGTGTTGTTGCCATAGTGCAACTTGCGGCTTCCACTATGACAGTGTCTTGTGTTTCTGCCAACACACTTCATATTGGACTTACATAGAATTCTCTAGGTTTTCTTTATAACACTGTAGGAGCAGCTTAACTTTGGCTCTCACAAGCTTTTTATGATGATGTATAAGCACTGATTTGAGCATAGGAGGCTCTCACTGATTATGGAGCGCATATTCCCTAGTTTAGTATGCCTTAGTTCTTAACTCAGATTTGGAAGAGAGGTTCCAGGGTTAGCCAGTTGATGAAGCCTTTCCACCTACCCCCTCCTTTGGAGAAAATTTTCCAATTATGGGATTAATACTTTGCTGGGAACATTGGTTCAAAAAATAAGAATTTCAGGACCCTTTGTCAGTAAGTGATAGGAAATGAGAGGTAAGCAAACCTGCCAACATTATTATTTCCACCATACCCACTCTCCTACATACTTGTGACATACATGAAACCCCTTACCTCTGGTATGTTTAATGAAAATTCTTTCTTTACATTACTGGAAAGGATGGACACATTTGTAATTGAAGTACCATAAGCTAATTCACTTTAAAATTTGCAGTTCTCTTTCGTGTCAAAACATGGAATTACAGAAATATTCCGGATCTTTTAAAAAATAATATAAAAGCAATCTTACATATTCACCAGCAGTGTTAGATTAGATCACATTTTTCTGTATCTTAAGCATTTGACGTTGCTGCTTGTTTATTGTATCTCTTGTGGTGTGTGCTTGTAACTCGTTAAGCCTAACTAGTTAGTGAACCTCTTATATTCTTATTTGCCATAGGTATATCCTCTTCATTTCACTTGCCTGTTTTCAAATTGGATTTTTTAAAAACTCTTTTGAGTCTTGAAAGTTCTTTATATATTCTAGACCCAAGTGTTAATCAGATAATGTAGTATGTGAATGCTTTTTCCCAGTCTGTTTCTTGTCTTCATTATCTTAGTGGGAATTTTTTTCTAGAGCAACAGTTACTAATTTGATGAAGGCCGGTTTAGTAAGTACTTTTTTGTATAGATTGTATTTTTGGTGTTATGTTTAAAAACTTCTTGACCAAGCTTTAAGCACCAAAGATTTTTCCCTAAAAGTTTTATAGTTTTACATTGGAGCCTGTTCTCATTTGAATTACTTTTTATATAACCTTGAGGGATTGAGGTCGTTTCTTTTTGGGTTTTGATGGTGGTTTGTATTTGTTCTTGTTTTGCCTGTGGAAGACAGTCAGTCCAGCACCATTTGTTGAAGAATCCACCCTTCGTTCTTTGAATTGCTTTTGCGTGGTCTGTGCCTGTGTTCTCTGTTCTGTTCCTTTGATCAGTGTGTCTCTTTCTGTTAGTATCACAGTATTGACTATTGTAGCTATCTAAATCTTGGGCTAATTTGTCCCCTTTTATTTTTCATATTTACAGTAGCTTTTTCTAGGTCTTTGGCCAATCCATACAAATTTTAGAATAATCTTTTCTGTAGTTGTGACACCCGCTAAGATTTTGGTAGTTATGTTAAAGTTTCATTGAAACTAAATGCGCACTTAACCATATTACCTAGCAATTCTAGGTCAGGACATTTGTCGTAGGGAAACTAATGTTTACTATAAGTCTGTGCATAATGTTTACAACAGCTTTATTGATAGTAGACCAAAACTAAACAACCAGATGGCCTTTAATAGGTGAATGGCAAATTGTGGTATATTATTCATCCTACAAAATGGTACTCAGCTGTAAGGACCATATATTGATAAATGCAACAAGCTGAATGGATCTCAAGAATATTCTGCTGAGACCAAACAGTCAGCTGCTGTATGATTTCATGTTCTCAAAATGAGAAATACAGACAACAGTGCAGGTTACCCGGGCTTAGGAGTAGTAGGGAGCAAGGGCTGGGTGTGACACTTTCGTGGTGATGGAGCAGATCTGCATCTTCTTTGCAGCGGTGATTACAAAGGTTGCACAGGTAGTGCAGTGTGTAGTTATGCATGTACTCTGGACCAAGTCAGTATCTAGTTTTCCGTGCTGTTGTGGTTATGCACACTGTCACCACTGGGGCAGATGTGGTCACGGGACTTGTCCACTCCGCAGGACTGCTCCACTGTTCTTACACCTGCGACTGTGTAATTACTTCATAATTGAAGAGTTGAATTTTAAGTGTATGATTTATTTCTAAAAAGCAAGAGTTCACATCTTACAGTCATGGACATATTAGAGAAAGATGGAAATTCATTTGACAGAAAGTTTTTCTTTGAAAAGAGAAAAATAATGTAAAGGAAACATCAATTTGCACTGCTCATTTACTGTCAGACTGAACTTTTCAGGATGTCTTTCATTTCTTATATATTAATACACTTTTCCCCAAGATTAAAACACTAGGATGTTTTGTATAATGCATGTGTATTTGAGCCTTTTATATTTCTCCCATTACAAGTAGGAACCTTGTGTTTTCAGAAACTTGTGTGCTTTGGTTCTCATACGGTATTTATGTTAACTCTTTCCTCTCCTCAGGTTTCCTCCTGTTTCATAATCAACCAGAACAATGTTCTACGCACATTTTGTCCTCAGTAAAAGAGGGCCCCTGGCCAAAATTTGGCTGGCGGCCCATTGGGATAAGAAGCTAACCAAAGCCCATGTGTTTGAATGTAACTTGGAGAGCAGTGTGGAGAGTATCATCTCGCCAAAGGTACGTTTGGTATTGGTGACGTTATCCAGTTTGTTACTCAAGTCTGAAACAGAACTTACAAAACAACTCCTTAGTCATCTATTGATATATGTTGGAGGCAAGGAAAATCTTTCAACTTTCCAGTTTTCTTTTGTTATTTTGTCTTTATCAGCACTAGGTAGGTTTTTATATGCCACAGTTTGATATTCTCTAAAAATTCTGTTAGTGCACAGATATTTTTTGTTTTAATGACAAATAAGCATAACGTATAACACTAGTCAAATATTTTATAATTAACCTTGTAGGTGTTTTTATGTGTAAGTGTTCCTGGTTTGGGAATTTACAAAATATTCAAGGTGAGGGACTCATTAGGTCTCAGGCCCCAGATCTAGCTGCGTTCATCCACCTAGCAAATCTCTTCACACCGCTTGCGTTACCTGAGCCTCGCAGCCCCTTTGCTGCTTCCCTGTCACCATATTCGTGCACTGCCATGCCCTTGCCAAGGACGCTCTTCCACCAAAAATTTGCTCCTTCACTTACAGTAATTACTTTTGACTTCCATGAGGATAGAAGCCTTGAGGAGTCCTTGTTGACTTCTACAGATGTTTTGAAGCAGTGGTATCTATGCTTGCATTTCACAAATAGTACAACTTTTAAAGCACTGTACAGTTTTTACTTTGCCAAGAAAAGACAATAGCAATTGTCATCTACTATGATAATTAGCATTTTATTGAAGAAAGGACCTGTTGACATCAAAAATGTGTGAAGGGCTAATCTCAAAGGAAAAATCCTTAAATATATTTATATCTATATTTGAAATGCCTTTTCTTGTACCTTGTATTTATACCTATACACAACTCCCACCTGCATGTATCACCTGTCCTCTGGTGAAAGTGTTCCAGAGCACAGTTGTGGGAACAGGGATTGGGAAATATTCTTCCTAGATTTGCCAGTTTAGACACTGTTGGCATAAGGTATTAAATAAAGATTATTTATTGTTGGAAGAGTCAAAGAATCTCAAGAATAAGGCAGGGGATATAACAGAGACTGATGTTGAAAAGTGTGCATATTGCTGAGTAAAATAAGCCAATATGAAAAGGCTTTATATGGTGTGATTCCAGCTGTAGGACATTCTGGACAAAACAGAACTACGGAGATCGTAAAAAGATGAAGAGTTAGGGAGAGAAGGGAGGTATAAATAGAGCACAGAATTTTCTTCTAGGGTATTAAACTATTTGCCCTTTTACTATGGTTTATGCACATCATTATATGTTTGTCCAAACTTATAGAATCTACAAAACCCAGAGTGACTCCTAATGTAAACCATGGACATCGGGTAACAATAATTTTGGAATAAATGGCTCAGTTACAGTAAACATGCCTCTCTAACGAGGCTGTAGATAGTGGGGCAGGTCTACGTGTACGGAGGTGGGAAGCAGATGAAAATTCTCTACTTTCTGTTTTGCTAAGAACCTAAGGCTGCTTGAGAAAAGCCTTTTTAGACACTGATATAAGAGCTGTGGTCAGTTTTTCTTGCATACAGTCTTAACAACAAATCAGAACAATGCAGTTTTATAGGATACATCTTTATATATGTGTACACATAGCACAGACTACATGCACATAGAACATTCACACAGAAAAGCCTACACAGTATGCCAAAATACTATTAAAGATTCATGTAATGAAGGATTTACAGGTTATTTTCTTTTTTAGAAATAACTATCTACTAAACATTTCTGGTTAAATCTCTTCCATCCTTAAGTCTTTCCTTATGATTAATGTTTGTAATTGGTAAGCTAAGTGATACTATTATTTTTAAGATTCCTGGTATGCTTTAATAATTTGCTCTCCAGTGAGATTGTGGCATATTGCTGTACTAGTGAATTGCACGAGAACATGGTACTGTTTTAATAAGTGTACTCCTTGAAATAAGTGAGTAGCAAAGGGAAAACTGCACTACAGGTTGATATGTGTAGCTAATTTGTGGCATCCATTAGCAGATTGTTGAGAGTGATATCTTAAAAGGCTAACATCTTCATTGCATTTGCACAGTGCTTTGGTAGCCCATCAGGAGCGCGCCAGATGGGCGTGAGACATCCACAGACCGCCACAGAGCACTCGGTTCAGAAATAACGTGAAAAGCAGTATGTGTGCAAGAGTGAAAATGACTTGCTTTAAAGTTTTTAAAACATAAGTGGGTCTTCAGTTGATACTTACGTTGCAGTAGAATGTAAAGATACTTCCACAAAGTCAACTGTCGTGAGCATTTCTGATGTTTGCTGTGCAGTTCTTGCAAGGAAATGTTGGTTTAGTTGAGTAAGTATCAGACTTGTGGCTTGGTTGCACCTGAGAGCTTGCACGGTCTCTGGTCTCACGCGCTCCTCTTCGCCCACTAGAAGAGCCTCTGTCTGCACCCTGGGTAGAGCTTCCTCTGGATGTGGCCTCGGTCTGTGTTAGCTTTACCGCATTCTCCTTAGCTCTTCTGCTCCAAAGCGCTAATGCCATATCTCATTTTACCTACTCTGAACCAGACGAATCCAGAGAGAAAGCTTTTGCTCACACACCAGTGTTTGGAAATTGCTAATTCTAGACAAGGTAATGACAGGGGCAGGCAGAGACTTTCTCCTCCTTTTGGGGGCAGCGCAGTCAGTGATAAGACATCACAGGAGTAGATTATGCTTCTCCATTCGGAGCAATATTTTGCTTGGAATTATTTTTTGTGTCTGGTTTATCACTTCAAGACCTAGATTCGATCACAGATGTGTTATAATTTCAGATATCTGAAAATTTATAGCAGCAAACTTCATAATTTACACTATGATTCTCAAGAAATGACCATAAACACAGAGCTTAAGAATTGTAACCAGGGTCCTTAGTGTGCCTCCTAAACAGTCTATATCTTAAGCAGATGATGAACAATTTTGTTACCTTAGAAGTTGGTGAGTTTTATGGCATAATTTGGAAAACTATCTTGAGAAATTTGAGTCCATATTGTCTAACTCACAATAAATGTTCCTTATAGCCCAAAGCAAGGAATTTTGAGTGCTGCTGTTTAGACTGAGTGCATGTCTTGTTTTCCCTACACTGTTCACACACCGTATACATGAGGGTTGATCAAGATCTGTCTTGCAGTTAACAGAATAAACTGTTTTTAATAAGATGATTTTGGTATCCTTTGCATTGCTTCGTTTTTTTGATCAAGTGATAAATAGAAACATAATGAAAAGTGGTTTGAAAAACACTGCTTCCAGGAGGATTGGAAATAGGAAGATCTAGGAGAATTGGTTCCCAGCTCAGGGATCCAGTTTGTGGGCAGTTGTCCTGTACGTAGCATATGGTTACAGGGTGACTGTAAGCAGTTCAGACCCCGCCCTTCCAGAGCAGGAAAGGGCCGAGGAGGACCTTCTTCCTAAGGGGGAGCTCTTTCAGAGAAAGTCACTGGCACACTTTACCAGTTTCTCAGTTGTCTGAAGTGCATCCCATGCCCACTCAGTTGCATTAGCAGAGAGAAATGAGACCATCATCCTTCAAAGCTAGGGACATTTGTTTCTGAAAGAAAACCAGCATTGAGGAAGCCAGTGAGGAGCAGGGGCTCTGGTTGGCCTTCAGGTCCGTCTGCAGTCTGAGGAGTGATTTAGTTCCTGTTTCCTACCTTCATGGCTGTGTTAATTCACGAATTACTACTGTAGTTGTTTTGGGAGGGGAGTCCTGAAGGAATTTACAGGTCAAAACGAAGAAATAAAATATGGGTGATTGTGAGGTAACAAAAGTAAATGCTAAAAGTTATAAAGAAAGTTAAAGCTCTGTATAAAATAGCACAAAAATACAAGCTTTGAGAGATAATTTTACCTTTAAAACTACAAAATTAAGTTCCATTAATACTGATGTCTCCTAGGTGAAGATGGCACTGCGAACATCAGGACATCTCTTACTGGGAGTAGTGCGAATCTACCATAGGAAAGCCAAATACCTTCTTGCAGACTGTAATGAAGCGTTCATTAAAATAAAGATGGCCTTTCGGCCAGGTATTGTGTGTTTTTCTTTCTTTCCTTTTTTTCTAACTTTTAGTGTTTTCCATGTTTTATAAACTGTTAAGCACGTATTCTAGTTCACGATACTGTTTTATTTCCTAACAATGCAAGGAACCCTTCAGAGATAACCAAGATGCTTGGGGGGCAGTAGTTGAGGGAGAATCGCATCTGCCTGAGGAGTAATACTTTTTTACCTTTTTTTCCCCAAAAACTTACATAAAAGTGAGTCATCAGAGATTGAAATATGAACAACCACTTGTTATGGGATGATTGTTTATAGATAAAGACGTTTTAAGATTTTTAATTTTTCCTGAGTAATGCTAATGTTCTTATGTTGTTGTTACTTTGTTTTTTAATTCTCTTCAAATAAAAAAAATCAAAATCACTTTTAATATATTGAAGTGTTTATCTGAATTCACATATTGTTAATTTTTTAAGCATTGATGAAATTTTATGTGCAATAATTAAATATATGAGATTCTTTATATAATAGTTTGCATTGAGATTATATTCTAATACTTCAGTTTATTTCAATACATGAACAGTAAAATGTTAGAGATCTAAGATTTTATTTAAAAGTAAAATATTTAGGCAGAGGCTATGATGTTTAAATGATTTCTAACATGTTTAAATAACATGCTTTTGTTTATTTTTGTCTTTTATTAAAGTAGTAGGTATGTATTTTGGTTAGCTTGAACTGCGTATCCTTTTTTTCCCTTTAGTTACACCCCTGTCATTTTATTTTAAATTGTTATCATGGAAATTTTTCAGTGTAGCTAAAATTGTGTCCCTGCTCTCCCTAAAAGTATCAGCTCCTGTACAGTCATTCCTTTTCCTCTCACAGCTCTCATGTGTACTTAGAAAACTGTATTGATACTGACTTGATAATATCTCCTTTTAAAGGTTTAGGAGCTTAAACATAATTAGTGCTTGGGCTTTCTTCTTTGAAGCAATTGGTGCACCTTATAGTAGAAAAACAAGTACTTTTGTTCCAATGTACTTTATATGTGATATGTCATCACCCAGTGTGGAATGTGACCTCAGGAAATCATCCCCACCTCACTCCCTCTTACCGCTAGGGCATCTGTGGGTAGTCAGGCCTTCAAGCTTGACATTTCTTTTCCAGGTGTTGTTGACCTGCCTGAGGAAAATCGAGAAGCCGCCTACAATGCCATCACATTACCTGAAGAATTTCATGATTTTGATCAGCCGTTGCCGGACTTAGAGTATGTCTCCTCTGTCTTGCTGCCTGCCTGTCTGTCTCTGTCTCTCTGTCTCCCTCTCCCTCATTCCCTCCCTTGGTCTGCAAAAGCATATTATTGGCGTCCACGGGGCTGGGGATTTAGCTCAGCGGCAAAGCGCCTGCCTGGCAAGCGCAAGGTCATGAGTTCGGTTCCCGGTACCGGAGAAAAACCAAAAAAAAAAAAAAATAATAATAATAATAATAATATTGGCGTCCAAGTAGATAGTTCTCCTTGGAGTGTTTTTATATTGGGTTAAAACTAGCTAAAATGCTTGTGCTTTTGTTTAGAATAAGGTATAAATATAAAACGTATATCTAGAAGGTGTTTCTTCTATAAGAAAGTTGGATGTCAACTTGTAGCACAGCTAGCTTGTGAGAATTCAATTGTCGCCTAATATTTTTTCAGAGGTATATGTTAAAGTTGCTTACTAGCAGTGTTCCTGGCCAAGCTATAATCAGAGCCCATTTTTGTTTGTTTCTTTTTAATAAATGTGACTTTTTATGAAGAGCAAGGAAGTTTTGTCATCACAGCACATGTAAGAGGAGAAAGTCCCGCCATCCCAATGGCCGTTACAACAGAGCACTGTTCCGCTGTTCCCCTCTCCTCAACCCCTTGGAGTGCGGCTGAGGAGTGGCTGCAGCTTCGCATGGGATCCTGCAGCACAGTTGACAGCCAGGAAATCCTCTGTCCCCAGCCCCCTGTGCTTTTTGAAATGACCTATAACTGTTCATGAGAATGAATGTTTTGCCTGTTTGCCCATTGTATGCTGGTATTGGGCACTATTTTGCTGTTTTACTCTTTTCTCTCCTTATACCTAGCATTTTATTTTATTTTATTTTTTTTTGTTGTTGTTTGTTTTTTTTTGTTTGTTTGTTTTTTCTCCGGTACCGGGAACCGAACTCAGGACCTTGCGCTTGCCAGGCAGGCGCTTTGCCGCTGAGCTAAATCCCCAGCCCCCATAGCATTTTATTTTAAATTACTTTATCATGACAATTTTTAAGCAGAGCTAAAAAAGATAAGTATTGTAAACCTCGCGTGTCAGTTTATTTAACAATATATTGCTGGATTTTTTGTTTTCTTCTGTATTTGGTTATTTTGACGGGGGAAGAATGATTGATAAGTTGAGGTTTTTTGTGTTTTGAGACAGGGTCTGTTGTAGTTCAAGCCAGCTTCGAACTCACTGTGTAGCCCAGGCTGGCCTCGAATTCACAGTGATCTTCCTGCCTCGGCCTCCTGAGTGCTGGGATTACAGACCTGTGCCATTATGCCTGGCAATGCCAGTTTTATTTTATCTCTTTTTCCAGCTTACCTCCCATCCCACCTTAAGGTATTTTAAATTAAATAACATAATTTTATCTGTAGTGCTGCAGTATTGTCTCTGTAAAGGTAAGAGAGTTTTTAAACAAATCTATAATAACATCACACCTCAGCAATACCAGTAATTTCTTAGTATAATGCCCTCTCGGCATTTCAGTGTCCCCAGTTGGCATGTGGCCATTTTTGTTTTTTATTCATGTGTTTTTCTTTCCAGTTTGGGACTGTACAGAGTCTGCAGACGGCATTGAGTTGCTATGTCCCAGTGATCTTCTAAGATCCTACAGGCTCTATATCCCTTTTCTTTCTTTATTGTTTAGATACCAGGCAGACTTAGTTATTTGTTTTGAAGAGTTTATGTCCAGGATTTTGTCAGTAGTATTCCAGATTGGTGTTTAGCATTACATATTTTTATTTCATATTTTTTAAACTAAGAAGAATTACTGTATTTGTTAACAGAGAATCTGGGTCTCAGAAAAGTCAGGTAACTTAAGAGTTCGTTCAGCTGTAAATGGAGGGAGGGATCCGATGAAAACCCAGACGCCCCTGGCCCATTAATTGTTTGAGCCTCTACCGTGTATATAGATACTCGGTGATCTGTGTGTGTTTCATTGCTGATTCTTGATGGTTTGCACATCGTTAAGTACGCAGTAACTTCCAAATTACTCTCGGACTGATTTGAAATTTCATTATAAAGCTTCTAAAACGTGTTTGGTTGTGGGTGTAGAAAGAACTGGGTATTTCTCCCCTCTAACTACATTACAGTGTGGACTTGGAACTAAACTGTGTTTGCACTTGGTTTACAGTGACATCGACGTAGCCCAGCAGTTCAGCCTGAACCAGAGTCGTGTGGAAGAGATAACCATGAGGGAAGAAGTCGGGAACATCAGCATCCTGCAGGAAAATGACTTCGGTGAGACGCGCAGTGCCCGCCGTCAGTGGTGATGCAGTTCTGTCGTGTCGCTGCTAGCAACCTCCAAAGGAGACCCCGCTCTGACACATTCACACACTGCATGTTACGTTCTTATGACAGAAAGACTCCAGCATTCATTTTTTCAAGAACAGAACTTGTCTTGCTGTCAGTATAGAAAGCATCGTTTCCTTTACTGGACCAGGCTGAGTTCACTGTGTGCTTGCTCTGCTCCCCATACGCAGTGGTAGAACCTGTATTTTGATTTGTAAGAAAAGTCCCAGCATTAAAATAACACGTACTTTTAAACTAAGCATTTGGAACTATTAGCTGTATGAGCGCAGCCACTGTCCAGCCCTGGATGTTCAAAACTGGTAGCTAACACGGTTTCCCTGATGCGAACACATTAGAACAGAGTTAAGGCCTGAGAATGTCAGTGTGACCAAACCCGCGTGTTCACATTTACCGAACATACTTAGGCTAAGCTGAATTGGCACCGAAGTCTGATGCTGTTAGTCATGCCTGCCAGAGCTGCAAAGTTCAGAAAGACAAAGCAGCAGATGTGGCTTCGTGGTAACGCCGCGGTAGCTGTCGTCTTTTCACAGTGCTGCCCCATTCTCAGCTCACGGCGTCCTGTCGTTTGCTCAGGTGACTTCGGGATGGACGACCGTGAGATCATGCGGGAAGGCAGTGCTTTCGAGGACGACGACATGTTGGTCAGCACCAGTGCTTCGAACCTCCTCCTGGAGCCTGAGCAGAGCACCAGCAACCTGAACGAGAAGATCAACCACTTAGAGTACGAAGACCAGTACAAGGATGACAACTTCGGGGAGGGGAATGATGGGGGAATATTAGGTAGGTCACCAGAGGTCAGTCAGTACGAGTTCTTTATTCAGTTGTGATGTTTTGGAGCGGTTGCTAATTCTTTGTCTGGAGCAGCTGTCTAGGTACGTTTGTGTGAGTTACGGTCAGTTCAGTATAAGTTTTCTGTAATACTAACCTGAAAGTGTTACAAAGCAAGCCTAATCTTTGTGCAAATGCTTATCTCACAGTTCGAAACTATTACTTCTTTAAGCTGCTCTATTACCTACATTAATACATTTTTTTTTATTTCATTAATACATTCTTACATATATGAACTAGAAAATGTAAATGATGAATGAAAAATTTTTTCACGTACTGTTCACACAGTGCTTCTATAAACTGCCTTGAGGAGACTCAGATACAAATTGAATACAGGTTTAAATTCAGTCTACCCTAACACAGTTACTAGTCTTTCGCTATTTTCCTTTCAAACGTTAAATGACCTCTTCTGTTCCAGATGACAAGCTTATTAGTCACAACGACGGGGGCATCTTTGACGACCCCCCTGCCCTCTCCGAGGCAGGCGTGATGCTGCCGGAGCAGCCTACACACGATGATATGGATGAGGACGATAACGTATCGAGTAAGCACCTGGTCCTCAGTGGTTCTGGGGATGACCTGGGACATCCAAAAAGATAGCGTTCAGGGAGCCGAAGGCAGAAGTGCTGCCTTAGTGATCTGTAAATGCCTCGACTGAGCTGCTCGTGATGATCCCTGCTTCCGAGTCTGTGTTTAATCCTGTGCCCCTCCCGTTTTCGTGCATTTGCATTCAGCTTTGCAGGCGCTGCCTGATAATTAGAAGCATACCGTTTCCTAGTACCAGTGGGATTTCCTTCAGTTTCAAACAGGGGTTTCTTTCTCCATTTGTAGGATGAGTATCATGTACGCAGGCCTGTTATGACTGTATTTGTTTTTACAGTGGGTGGGCCTGATAGTCCTGATTCAGTGGATCCCGTTGAACCAATGCCAACTATGACTGACCAGACAACACTTGTTCCGAACGAGGAGGAAGCGTTTGCTTTGGAGCCCATTGATATAACTGGTAAGCAGGCCTTTGGCTAAAGTAACCTGCAGAACACAAGGTTCCAGTTCTGCCTTCTGCCTGGCCACTGACGTGCAGCTCGTGTTCTAGATAACCAAGCTGCTTTCTCCTTTGTCACACGCATCTATTGCAGTCGTTATTCTGTCTAGGGCCAACTTGAATGTTCTGTAGAATATCTCTATAGGTTGCTATAAAGGTATAGAATGAGTTCTTCGGTGTATTACTTAGTGTTTTGAGGGTCTCGATATTAACAGCTCACAGTAACAACTAGAAAATATTGCATCATGTTTTACAGTCAGTTTGACTATTCAGTTATCATCTAAAAATTAAATTCTGTTGGGCTGCAATCTGGGAATGTCTAAAAATCCTTTCAGGAAAAAACTTGTGTATAAAACAATCTAAAATAAATAGTTTTCTTCAGTGCTTAACAAATATTACAAAACATTAAATGGCTGGCTGCTTCTGAGTAGAAAACAATTTACAATATATAAATTGTGACATGAAACTAAAATTGCTAGGTGGTTTATGGAGCCTCTAGGGTCGCCCTTGTAAGAATTTGCGCTGTGAGACAGGTAGATAGAGGATTCTGAGGAGACTGTCAGCTGTGTTGTATTTTTTAACCTCATGTTTTTTTGATCCTCATGGGTGTTTTATGTATAAAAACCTGCAAAGCATCATGTCTGACAGTGAGGAACTCTTGAGCAATTTATTTAGTCCCATGAGCTTCTCAAAAAATCAGCCTAACGCTGCCCGCTGTGCACGGTTGTGAGGCTGAGAAACAACTAGAAAAAGCGGGGCAGAGGGAGTTGCAGGTCTGGGATAGAACTTGGGCTTGTTTTACTTACCAAGCCGCTTCTACAATGCTCACGTCCGAGTCAGAACTTGACCACTGACTCGAGCAGCGTCTGCAGCCGCGTGTGGGAGACTGTCTGTGCCGGGCTGCAGCACGCGTTACACCCTCGCTACGTGCGTGACCCTGGTTCCGATTTTTACAGTGAAGCTTCCAGTAAGGCGAAGTTAACTTTTGCGTGGTCACACTCTAGGAGGGGTCAGAACACAGTACTCAAGCCCAGCTGAGTCACGTGTGATGTGTCCACTGCAGCAGAAAGTCTCAGCTAAAATGTATCGGCCCTTGCATTATTTCACTCATTCCGCCGGTTTTTATTGAAGAGCCGTTTTGTACCATCCTGAATTCTCAGTGGTGCTTGGACAGCGTCAGGAAAGCAGTCAGGCTAGATCCAGGGGCAGTGCATTTCCTGCCGGCCTCCCAGAAAAGTAACCTTACTTTCTTTGATTCCAGTCAAAGAGACAAAAGCCAAGAGGAAGAGGAAACTAATTGTTGACAGTGTCAAAGAGCTGGATAGCAAGACTATCAGAGCCCAGCTCAGCGATTATTCCGATATTGTTACAACCCTGGATCTGGCTCCACCCACCAAGAAGTTGATGATGTGGAAAGAGACGGGAGGAGTAGAAAAACTGTTCTCTCTGCCTGCTCAGCCTCTGTGGAATAACAGACTACTGAAGGTAATATATTTTATGCCACCAGCATTTTTAATAGTAGCTCTCTTTTAACTTTCTCTAATAAACTGTTATATTACCCTAGTGTGTTCTGTGCTTCAAATCTGCATTCATCAGACATTGTCTGAATAAAACACGCTTCAGTAGAATTTTTGTCACTCATAGACTTCGCTGTTCGCGCTGGATGCAAACAGCAAAGGGTCACGCTGAGGGTCCGAGGCAGCCGGTGAGCGGAGTGCCACCGCAAGTGGGCCAGTGCGTACGCCCCATTGACCGACTGATTCTCCTGCAGTCTGCTTCCAAAGCACCCAAAGCAGCAAGGCTAGGAAGAAGCTACTGTCAGTTGGAAGCACTGTCACATAATTTCGAGAAAGATTTATTCTCTGATCCAATAGACTGTTGATTAGAATTTTTCCCTAAGGAAGTAGTACTTCAAAGTACAGGAAAAGCCATTTCTGTGAAGATGATTACGTTTTTGTTGAACAGTTAAAATGTGAGAAATTGTGCAGTGGCTCAAGTGTGAGATATTCTGAGTCTCACACACGGGATTATTATGTAGCCATTAAAAACATTAAGTACCGTTAATAAGGTGTGCCATAGCAGATTATGGGGGGAAAGCGCCTTGTAGAACTTTCTGGTGTAAAAGCAGTTAGGTTGAGTTTTCAGGTTATGAATGTTAAAGTCTTAAGAGTAGAAATAATGGGTGAAAGTAATAGTTTTCAAGTGTTCTCAAATAGCTGTATGATTTGAAAACTTGTATTTGAAATTATTTTAAGACAAATATACATGCTAGCTTGTTAAATAGAAATGACAATGGTGGGTTTTATATAGTATAATTTTGAAATTAATATATTTTTCTTTTTTAATAGCTCTTTACGCGCTGTCTTACGCCACTCGTACCAGAAGACCTTAGGAAAAGGAGGAAAGGTGGCGAGGCAGACAATCTGGATGAGTTCCTCAAGGAGTTTGAGAACCCAGAGGTTCCGAGAGAGGACCAGCCGCAGCAGCACCAGCAGCGTGACGTCATCGGTCTGTTGGGATAATTCTGGAGGCAGCATGAATAAATATTTGGCTTAGAATTTACCTTTGTTGCCAAAGTAAAAGAGATGGCTAATGAAAGAGTAGGCCTAAATTCATGGGTAGGGAAATGGATTAGGTCTGATTTTAAGGTTCAGGAGTGGCCAGGTGGACACCACCTTAGCAGGGATTCCCAACGCCAGTCCATGTGCGGTGCCATCTGGGGCCTGTTAGGAACTGGCCACAGGCCAGGATGTGGCCGGGGATGGCTAAGCTGAGCTTCACCTGCATTCACAGCTCCTCATGTCTGGAATCACCGCCTGAGCTCTGCTTCAGTTGCCCTACCACACACGGGGTGTGTGAGAGATCTAGGTAGTGTGCTTGTTAGGAGAATCTTAATTCCAGAACCGTTGTCACGTACACACCCTGTCTGTGAAAATATTACCTTCCACCAAACCAGGCCTGGACCTTGGTGTCCGAAATGTTGGGGGCCGCTATGCTAGAAGATAGTCCTGCATTGTCTTCGGGCTGCAGCTTTTTCTGTTAAGACCTTCCTCCCTTCATGTATATTGTCATAAGCTGAATCATCTTTGTAGAGCTACAGTTCTCTTAGTCTTTATTAGAGAAAGTAGCTATGCGTGTGTCTTAGTGTTCAGCTTTGAAAAGTGAGGGCCCTAAAGTAACACTGAGAACGGCACGGCCTAAGTCCTTTCATGTGGTCCATTGCAGATGAGCCCATTTTGGAGGAGCCGAGCCGTATCCAGGAGTCTGTGATGGAGACCAGCAGATCCAACATAGAGGAGTCGGCCATGCCCCCGCCGCCATCGCAGGGAGTGAAGCGCAAGGCTGGACAGATTGATCCGGAGCCTGTGGTCCCTGTAAGTAACGCAGCGTTTGTCGGTAGCCGGAGGTGTCCGGGGAGCCCTTCTAAGGTAGCCTGTGTTAAAGCAGAACGTGGCAAGGAGTGGGTCCAGAGAGTGACAGGCGAAGCTGTGAATGTGGTCCGCACGAGGGAGATGAGCTGGGGTGCAGAGTCCCTCCACTCTCCCTGAACGGTCTTGCTTCAGAGTGGTCCAGAGTGCGCAGCCTTGGCTGAACTTGGTTCTCGTTTCTTCAGCGAACATTCCTCCATATATCTACTACGAGGCAGGTTAGGTTCTCTTACTAAGTAAGCCACATAAACTTTCCAGGTAACTGGAAGAAACGTACAGCAGTGTCTGGCTGCTTTGTTTATAGTTTGGCTACCATTGCATTCAGCTGGAATGGAAGGGAAAGTAGTGAGATCTGAGTTAGTTCTTCCCCATTTTAGATGTACAGAGTAAGTCGGGAAGGCGGCCCTTGGTAAGCGCAGCCCCTTGGCTCAGCCTCCACGAGGGGGCGTGCGTCGGCCGCTGTGCCAGTTTGAAGAGCGGCGTCTCGCCCTCCGCCGGAAAGGGGTGGTCAGTGAGAGCGTTCTCACTGTGGGCTCAGGTGCAGGGACAGGTGGGGGGCCGGGGCTCTGACACCACTGTCCTTCTGGTATTTACTTGGTTGCGATTTTGTTTCTAAAAACATCAGCTATTTATGTTAAGAAATACGGGAGACAGGCTCAGAAAAGTCACCTCTTTCCTATTACTTGCTGCTGTAAGAGTTTGTCCGTCAAAGCTTAGGATTTCAAGATACACTGTAGTAATAACTTTAAGGCAGTTTTATAAGATGATAGTAGACCATACTGGACTAATGGATAGTATTTTTATTATTTGTTTCTAAATGTTCTTGCAATAAGTTTCTATTTTTGTTTTTCTCATGGCTTATAGCTTTTCTTATTTTATAGACTGTTAAGTATTTGATACCTCAAAATAGAAAAATGAGAACCTTATATTTTAGGAGAATGGTTAATTTTTTTTTTTTAAAAGCTACTTTAATGTCACTTTACAATTTAAAAAAAGACCTACACCGTATTTTTGTTTGTGGGAAAATGGGGTATGACCCTAATATTTCCTCCAGCTAGAAAATTCCTCACCTGTGTTTGCATGGGTAAAAGAAGCTCCCTTAAATGTGCATAGTTTAAATTGCTTTGTTTTATTGTTTTTCAGCCTCAGCAGGTAGAGCAGATGGACATACCACCTGTAGAGCTTCCCCCAGAAGAGCCCCCCAATATCTGTCAGCTGATACCAGAGTTAGAACTGCTGCCTGAGAAGGAGAAGGAGAAAGAAAAGGAGAAAGAGGATGATGAAGAGGAAGAGGTAGGAGGCTGTAAGATAGATACCTGACGAGTAGATTCCTATTCCCAGTTTAGCAGAGCTCTTCACCCTTTTACTTTTTATATAGGACTCCATTAATTGATGTTAAACATCACTGACAAATGTTCAAACAGGATCCAAATGCTTATGGCGTAAACCATCAAGTCTAACGCTACGCTGAGATTCCCGGGTTCCGCTGTGGTGTTGAAAGGACACGGGGCTACCCTGGTGCTGATGCGCTGCTTGGCTCCTAAGTTGCTCGTTGCTGCTGCGCATTATCTGTGGTCAGTGCTTACTGCAGCTCTCATCAGCCTGCTAAGACGCCTTCTGTCTGGCCTGCAAATAAGTAACCACCAGTTCCCACTTCTCCGTCTCGATTTGGGGTTTGTTTTTATGAGACCAGGGTAGGGCGTGCTTGTGAATGTCAGAGTAGCAGAGGAGTTTAGAAATTTCCCTCTGGTATTTTTAGTTATTCAGAGTTCTTTCAATTTCTCACCACGTCAGTCATAGACATTGGCACTTTCTTTTGATACCAAAGCTGTATTATTTTAAAGCCACGATTTAGCTTCACAGCTCTTCCAGTCTCTGTGCCGTATGGGCCATTGTCTCAGTATAAAATATGAATCCAAAATTGTACTTTGTGTCAAAAAGGGTATGAAGGTTGGCCCCTGCTTTTTGGAATGCGGTGTAGAGTTCTGCGTAGCTGGGGAGCAGCAGGTGCCCCACCCCACTTTGAAGCTCACAGTCATTCCGGCGGCAGGTCCGAAGTAAATATTAAGGATCATAGCCCGTTACTTTAATACACAGTAGAGTCCATTACCATTTATTCAGCATGTCAGCAGGCGCCTTGGTAGTAGCCCGTGATAAGATTTAAGAACCTACCAGAATAGGAGCCACCTGGAAAAGCATGCTACACAGAAAAGGATACGTTTCGTTAAAATAAACACTACACTTAATACCATCATTGATTTAGACCTTTGCATAAGTTCATGAACAAAGGAACTGGTAACCAAAAGTTGGATGGCCAGCAACAATCTCTCAACCGCTCTGGGTAGACCTCGGGCTCGCACAGCAGTGCAGAGATGCACCCAGTGGAAGGCTTGGTTGCTGGAACCAGGCTTTCCTTTGTCACTAAAGTGTAACCTTCAAAGTGCACACGAGATGCCACAGCATGTTGTTGCTGTGAGTAGCACCAAGTATATTTTCCTCTTAGATTATGTGGCCTGAATTAATCTAGAGCCTTCAGGCGATACAGAGTATTGTATTTTGCAGCAAAGCAGTTTTAACAGCTTTCGGGGGTCATTTTCATTCAGGAAGAAGATGCTTCGGGGGGTGATCAGGATCAAGAAGAAAGGAGATGGAACAAAAGGACTCAGCAGATGCTTCATGGGCTTCAGGTATGTGAGCGAATCTTAGAGAATAGGCTTCATCGGACCCTGACACATTGCAGGTGTCACGACGGGAAAACAGGCCTTCGTGAAACTTCGTAGGACTGGGCCATTGTAAAACACTCTTAATTGGATACGTAGACGGCCAGGGCGTGAAAACCTCGGAGAGCATCCAGAATACTCTGCCGTGCTTTTCCTGAAAAGCAGGCCTGTGGGGATATTTCAGGAAAGTCCTGTGTTTATGTCGCCTTATTTTGGGGTGAGCTAAGAGTGACTCGTTGAATGTGTTGAAGTATTATGTAGCATGAGATGTTGCTGTCCCTTAGCCCCAGTGTACCAGGTACAGGTACCCTCAGCATCTGAAATACCAGGCAGTTCGCCCTCGGTTTCCTAAAACAGATTCGTGCAAAGTTTTAAGTAGTTGATGTTTAATTTGTTTTTTTCACTTTAAAAACTAGTACAAGTAGTGGATTTTACTGTGGTATCACATTAGTTGTCCAAAGAGATGAATGAATGACATCAATCATGTTGGAGCAGCTTTGCTTTTTCTTGGACTTTGTTCTGCTCTTGGACAGATCAAAATAATGCTTTGGCCCTTTATTTTCTTGATTAATGTGAGAATCACTCATTAAGTCCAGCCCCAGTTCCTGACAGAATATATCGTTTTCCCAGTACCACATCTGCACCCTTTTATATTACTTCATTGTAGGGATTATTACAGTTCTTTCTTTTTTGGTGTCATTTCAGCGAGCTCTTGCCAAAACTGGAGCTGAGTCTATCAGTTTGCTTGAGTTATGTCGAAACACAAACAGAAAGCAGGCTGCGGCGAAGTTCTACAGCTTCTTGGTTCTTAAAAAGCAACAGGCTATCGAGTTGACACAAGAAGAACCCTACAGCGACATCATCGCAACCCCTGGACCAAGGTTCCATATCATTTGAGGAGCTGGAGGCGTCATACCTAGTGTTCGTCACTAGTGCATACAGATTGCCCCCGTGTGTAGGGCACACAAAACCCCTTTGAGAAAATTTAGATTTTTGTCTGTACAAAATCTCTGCCTTTTCTTTCATTTTTTCAAGTGTTTAATCCACGGATTTCATCTTTAAGGGAAATTGCTTGTATGGGTTGTATTTGTGTTGGAGTGGAGAAAGCAACACCCCGAGGACCCAGAAGATGATTTTAACAGTTCAGAGCAGATGTGTGCAATATTGGTGCATGTGATAATGTTGAGTAACTGTCAAAAGTCATGATTTTTTAGTTCTCTGTTACTGCGTCAAGAGGAACACCGGTCTAGGAAAAATGCCTGGCAGTTTAATTAAGAACTATGGTATGTGTTTGACAGGAAAAGTGTCTTCCCATCAGTAAAACCAGCAGTCAGGCTGACCTCTGTACGTAGGGATGGTACCTGAAACTAGAGAATCACCTCAAGGTGTTTTTAAAGTGTAATCGTAACGAGCGGGAGTATGTGAGTTTTGTATTGTGACTGATCCCCTTGAGCTGCAAAGCGATAGGTCTGGCGTAGTGGAAAACATTGTGTCTCAGAAGCAAATCATTCTGTCGCGTCTTTATGGTGAACTTTGCTGTCCTGAACTCTGTCATTTTATTGCAGCTCCAAAGTGACCAGAAACAGACTTGTTAAAGTGGAATAACGTAAAAACACAATTTTGCAGGAGCTGTAAGTTAGAGTTGAGTATTCAGATCATGACGATAGAAATTCTTCTGCCTCCTGAAAGGGCAGACTGGTGGGACATTACACATCAGGTGGGCTTAACCTTTAAGCAGACAGTGCTGTAAAAACTATGGCTTCTCTGGTATTTATTGTAAATGTTAGGACTGATCTCCTTTCCCAGTGCTGCACACTCCTGTGTTTGGAACTTTATTTTAATAGCTTTGCAAGTGAAATCCTTTATCTGGTTTCCTGTAATTTAAATGAAGAAAAACACATCCAGATAAAGGCTTTATTGTTTTAACAGACCAGATAGCGCCAGAAATTATGTGACTATTAATGATTATCATAACGTCTTAACTTTTTAGGGCAAGATTACACTGAAGGATCTGTCTTAAGTGTTGGCACTTTGCGGGGAAAAAAATCACTTTTGAAACTCAGACTTCAGTGTATACCCAGTAATTTAAAATTATGTGAAACGCTTTAAATTTGAGAACTCATAATCACTGTTTTAACGATTCAGTTTTTGAGACTGGTAATTGTATGACATTGCTATTGCAGTTTTATTTTCAATATTATGTGCCTGTAAACCATGGTCCTTCCCCCTTTGTAAAAAGACATTGTAGATAATTGAATGTTTGATTACTGAAAGGTCATTAGTTTCTCGTTACACATTTTGTTAGTCTGGTTTTTGTTGCTTATCGGGTTTAATATTGTTCTTGGAAATAGTTGATGCTATGTTATGTATAACTTTTCTAATAAAAGTTGTGTTATAAGCTGTTAATTTGGGAATACTGCTTTATTCATGAAGTTCCTGGTGTTTACCAGGAAAAAAAAAATTGGCTGAAAAATCAACATGGCCAGGTGCTTCCTTTGTCCACCTTATCTGGAATAATTATCAAACGAGGTACATTTGGGACGGGCGGTGGTTACATGGGGCTCGTGGCTGTAGCATAGTTGTAGCCTGGCGTTAAGAAGCTACACAGCCACAAACCAGTTAACCCAGGTGAGGTGTTTCCAGCGCGTGAGTGTGCAAGCCAGAGTCCTCTGCCTTTACACAGCTCACGTCCTGATGCGGAGACACGCAGCAAATCAAATCTGGAACGTTGGGGCGTGGTCCATTATTAATAGGGTGGTCAGGCTAGGCCTTGGGGAGATGAGGTTCTCAGCGAAGGAGGTTTAGGCATGGGGATGCAGGGGTGCAGAATTCCCAGAGAAGGGCCCACTGTAGGGAGGTGTCCGAACATAAAGCAAACCAGCGTGGCTGGAGCAGTGACGCCATCAGGAAGTGAAGCAGGAGATGCAGTGAGCCACATCGTGTGTCTTAGTTACTTTTCTCCCATCGCGGAGACAAAATCCCAGAGGTAAAGGGAGAAAGGTTTATTTAGCTCAGTTTGTAGAGGTTTCAGTCCAGAGCTGGCTGGGTCCAAGGCGGGGTGGTTTGGCAGAGGGGCATCTCAGAACAGTTCATTGCAGACAGGAAACAGCAAAAGCAGGTAAGCAAGGGAGAAGACGAGCCTATTTCTGTTTCATACTGTGTCCGGGCTGCTGGGATTAGGGTGGTGCCAACCAGGGGGCGGACTGCACTGACCGCCCACCCGTCCTAGCACCCTTCGTGCTAGCATCGCAGCCCAAATCAGTCACACGCTCGATTCAGCCACTTCTGAAAAAGCCTCACCTACGGCTGCGTGAGGCTTTGGGGGCATCCAGACACAAGCCAGAACACTAGCCCGGCTTCTCAAGATTGCTGCCCACCTGTGGGCACCAGGGAGCCCCCCCACCGCGCTGGTATGTGGCCCTCACTCCCTGTGAAATGCCTCTGGCTCTTATTGGAGCACACAGTGGTTTTGGGTGGAAAGAGCACGCTGAGTTTCCTGTCGCGGTCTGGGTAACCCACTGTGACAGTGATCGCTGACACTGCCGCTGTGACCTGACTTTACTAACAGGTCACCTGGAAAGAGACCTGGTGTTTGCAGTTCTGTGGACCAGGGTTTGAGGCTTCAGCCTCCAGCTTACCCTCGGGGTGCCTGGGTCTCAGTACTTCTTCACTTATAAAGTATGGGTCTGAACATGTGCAGTTTTGTGGAAATCAGGTGAAGGAAAGAATACACGGAGCATGCGTAAAGCCAGCCACGCAGTAAATGTCGGCGGTTAAAAATGTTTAAAGCAAGGGGTTGATACCAGAACAAAATGAGGTTTTTTGAAAAGGAACTGACAGATGGGGATGCCACGTAGAGACGAGACTAAAACGACGCGCATACTGGGGACACCGAGGTGCCGGGAGCCCCCACCCCCGTTTCTCAGGCCCTCCCCTTTGCAGTGCCCTTTGCCCGCCTCCTACACCGTCTAAATCCTTCTCCCCATTTTAGATTTATCCAGAAGTACAAATTCCTCATGGGAAATTCTGACCCACACCTCATACGAGGTCTGATTTCCTGATTAAGTGCTCTTGGAGCTTCCTGAAATGAACACTAAACGTCTTGTAGTTAATTAGCAATGCTTTTGTGCCATTTTAGGAAGTTTAGGTTTTAAGACGTCTTTTAAAGGCTCAGGAGGTGGGCTCGATGGTAGGGTGCTTGCCTACCATGTGGAAGGCCCGGTTTCGGTCCACCGCATGCAAAAATAAAAGGCATGTAAAACATCCTTTGAGAATCCTCCTAACAGTTACGCAAGATAATCACAGATTCTTAGAATTCAGAAGGGTCCTTCAGTAGCCAGCTGTGAAGAAATCCCAGCCTGAAGGCAGGTAGGACGTCCACCCCACCTGGAAACCCTGTCCAGTTTCAGAAGTTGTATGACCTGTCGGTTAACATAAGGCACTATACGTGTCTACTCATATCAGTATTTCTCCTGAAGCATGTTTAAAAAACAGTCACCTTAGTCCCGGCGGATGGATGACTGACTTCACACCCACGCACTCTGGACTGAAAGCCCAGCTGTCCGCCAACTGTGCCCTGAGCAAACCTCTTCACCTCTCTGAACCTCAGTTTCCTCATCCATAAAATCGAGTAGCAAGACCTGCTTTATGGGGATTAAGACAAACACCGTGAATAAGCAAGAACAAAGCACTTTGAAAGTATCAGGAAGTGTGCAGCTATGTCCCTAAGCTTCCTGTTTCCATTAAATTCACACTGTCACAACAAGCAAATGGTGTTTATGAGTCCTTGAAGAATAACTTACTTTTCAGTCCCCTTTTCTGGAAACCAAGCCAAGGGCCATGTGCGGCGAGCCAGCCGTGTTCCACAGGAACGGGAAGCAAGCCCTGGGCACGGTCTCCCCGTAGCTGGGCACTAGGGCCTTAGTGAGTGACAAAGAAGTTTTAAAGATGAGGACCCACTTCGCGCTGCCTTCCTTTCCTGCCTTGTTTTGCCCCCACACTACAGACTTTTCCATTAGGCTTAACCGGCAAGTCAGCACAGGGAGGGCGGGCTCGCTCTTCAGTTCATGGAATCTTACATATTACACGGTACAATTTAAGGCTATAATCTCAGGGGTCATTTCTATAGTATGTTACAGGGTACAATTTGATGCTTCTATCCATGCACACATTGTGTAATAGATCAAGGTTTTTAGCGTAACCATCACTCAATTATCACTTGGTGATGAAAGCATTCACAATTTCTCTAGCTGTTGGAGATATTCAGCCTTATTAACTGGAGAATGCTGGAACCTCTTCCTGCTCTCTGTCACTTTGACCGACCTCTCCCTACCCCACGCCTTCCCCCATCCTCTGGTAATCCTTGCACTCTTCTTCCTTAAGATCAGCTTTTTTAGATTCCACTTATCAATAAGATTGTGAGTTGGTTGGTTTTTGGAGCCTGGTTTATTTTGCTGGATAGAATGTCTTTCAGGCTCATCCATGTTGCTGCATTTCATCCTTTTCTGGCCGAATGATACTCCACTGTGGACATAAACCACATTTTCTTGCTGTACTCATCCACTGACAGATGCTTAGGTTGCTTCCAAATCTAGGCTGTTGTAAAGAGAAAGGTTCTTATCTCTGGAACCTGGCCGAGAGCATCTGCTCACTTCCGCTGTTCTTCAGATCATGAGTACAGACATGTACATGGATCAGACATGTACGTGGGTCAGGCATGTAGCGGAAATAAGTCCTCAGGGGTGCGGTAGAAGGCTGGGAAAGGGGAGTGGGGAACTGGATATAAGGGGGTGGAGGGTGGACACAGCATCTGCTCATGCACATGTATGGGATACTATTGTAGTTTGAGGTTTTGCAAGGGGAGCAATATATTACAGGACATATATTTTATAAGATTATTTTATAATAGTCACCCAAAGAATCATATGCAAAGAGTGCAGGAAATCTGATCACACACTAAAGACTTAAGAATCCAACCGAGGGCCTGGATCCCAAGGTAATGTCCTGCATGAGTCCAGCTGGAGGCCTAGAATCCATGACAATGTCTCCTGTTTCACAGATCTGCACTGGGAAGGCCCAAAGGTCAGTGGTGGAAGCTAGAAAGTCTTTGCCAGCAGGATGAAGGATCTGTGCTAGCAAGTTGAGGAATCCACACTGAAGCCAGGAAGTGACACTCACAGTAAGAACCAGAGCTCCCCTGAAAAGTTCCACAGCCATCCTCAGCAACAGTGAGGTCCTGATCTCCTCCCATGATGAGGAAAGTCAAGTTTTCATCAGGAAAGCCAACTGGACAAGCTTCTCCAAGAGACTGAGCAGTGCACCATCTTCCCCTCCAGAGGCAGAAGCGATGCTCAAAGTAAGGACCAGAGCTCCCCCAAAGTGAACTACAGCCATTCACAGTGACAATGAGGTCCTGAGCTCTTCCTCCAATGAGAACAGCTGAGTTCATCAAGAAAGCCAACATGACAAGGTCTTCAAGAATATTCAGAATAGCCCAAAAGAACCAGCAGCTCTCTAACAGCTTCTCAACAGCCTCTCTCAGCTCCCAACAGCCTCAAAACCTTCTTCTCCAGTTCTGCCTCTTATGCTGCTGGCAATACTCCCGAGGAGGGCCTCCCACACCCAGCACCATGCTGATTCAGTTCAGCTGGGTGTCACAAGTTGACCACCAGTTGTCAGTACACCACAGATACAATTCAACTGCTGGTTGAGAAAAGACCAAGAATTGCAAAATTGGAGGTTTACCATAGAAGATGCAGATTAAAGGGAACTCTTATCCATTCGGAAATGAAAATTGTACAACCATTATGGATGATAGTATGGCGGTTCCTCAAAAAATTAAAACTAGAACCACCATATGACCCAGCAAGCCCACTACTAAGCATCTTTCTCAGGGAAATGAAATCAGAATATTAAAGAGACACCTACATTCCCGTGTTCTTGCAGGACTATTCACCATAGCCAAAATATACAACCTAGGTGCCCATCAACCAAAAAAATTGGTAAAAGAAAGTGTGGTACAACCATAATAGTAAAAACAGCATGGTACTGGCACAAAAACAGACATATTGACCAACAGAATAGACAGAAACAACCTCAAGCCCCTTAACCCAGGTGATTTTTCACAAGGGGGCCAATAGTAAATGCTGGATAGCCCAAGAGAATAATAAATGCTGGATAGCTCGAGAGAAGCAGCAGCTCTCTAACAGCTTCTCAACAGCCTCTCTCAGCTCCCAACTCAAAACTTCTTCTCCAGTTCTCCAGTTCTCCAGTTCTCTGGAGACAGCCTCTCTAACAAATGATGCTGGGCAAACCAGGTATCCGCATGCAGAAGAATGACCTATCTCTCTCACCCTGTAAAAAAAAATCAAATCAAAGTGTTTCTAGACATATTCTAGACACCCTGT